TGGACCCAAAATTATAGCCCAATTATTTTCAGCAGCAGTGTCTATTTGCTATGCATCGGGTTTCTGTTGGTGTTCTGTTATATTTCCATATCTTTTTTTTATCAATTGTGGGCATTTTTATTGTTCTTTATTTTTAAAAACAAAGTGATGAAGCGCTTTTAAGATTTTTGTAATTTTACTATTATGTACAGTACATTATTGTGGTCAGTTCTGACAGAAGTCAAGTCAAATATAGAGCATAAATCTCAGACTCCTGCAATAGTCTACAAGTAAAGGTCTGTTGTGAGATGTGTTTTTCAGTGTTTGTGGGACTTTTTCATCAATTGTGGACAATTTTACTTTCTTTATTTTAATAACATGTACAGTAGAGCCTCGAAAACTCGGCCTAATGTGGACTGAAGGGTGGGCGAGTTTGTGAAAATGCCAGGTTATCGGGAATGGGGTTAAAAAAAATAAGTATGAGTGTTTCCTCAGAAAATACTGTACTGTACTTGTATGTATAGTTTACTTGAGAATACAACAGAGAATAAACTGCCCAAATACCCTTAAACAAAGGAAAAGTACGTCTTTTATGAAGGCATAGAGCCTTTACTACATGAAAATGAAAATTAATGAATACACTGTGTACAGTAATTTACCTGATAAGACAGACCTCAGAAAAATACTTTATGAGGCATAAAGCTGTCTTTATCATGAAAATTAATTAACTAAGGATTTTTTTTTGCCCTGCCAGGGTGTGGCCGAGTTATCCAGAGTGCTGGGTTATTGAGTGCCGAGTTTTCGAGGCTCTACTGTATTACAAAATAATTTGTTTCTGTTACGTTTAATCATTTAACTTCAATGTGAGACAAATTAATTGTATTAAATTTTAACTACAATAATACATATTTTTATTCTTAAAAAAATATTGTACATATATTAGCTGTATAATAAATAATGTAAAAATTGTTGTTTATATATTAATTAACAATTAAATTAAATTCATTAAGGTATAAAGCGAGGTTTAAAAATGCTACCATATAAATCCTTTATATACATAATTTTTAATCCAAAATAGCTGTGGCTGTCTGTTTTATCAGAGATTTTAGTTATCTGTGGTAGCACTTAAAGATTCTTTGGTGATAAGCATAAATTTTGCTGAAAAAAAACTGGTATGTTCCTTGTGTGATTAGTTTTCTTCAGCAAAGTTTATGCTTTTACTAAATAATCCATCAGAAGAACAAGTAATAACAAATAAACAACACTCTAGAAGTACTGAATTGTAAGGGCTGTGAAGAGCTTGTATGGGTCCAGCGTAGAGTGGGCTACTTCTAGCCATTTTTTTTTTGAACAAATGAAGTATGTAAAATGCTTCCTTATTAATAAAAAGCAGTCTTAAATATTAAATATATTATAGTCTGTTAATTTTATAGGGGTAGGAATCATTAAGGGTTACTAAGTTTTCTCTGGACCCAAGGAAAAATCTTCAGCTCTTCCTCCCTTGACATCCCTGATTGTCATTCTCAAAGCAAAATATAGATGCAAACATCATATTTTTATACAGGGTGAGGCAGAAAGGATGATGTTTTTGAAATGGCTAAAACTCTTCACCAGGTGGAGTGACAAATGTGCGGCAGGTGGCGTGAAGGTAATGAGGTCTTAGCATTGTCTTTTCAGTTGAAGACATGGAGCTGTGGACAATAGAACACAGAGTGTTTGCATATGACTGTTTCGTCAAGAATAACAAGTCTATCACAGCAGTTCAGCCTAAGTTTCATTGTCATTTCAATATCCACAGAAACAAAGCTGTTCCCACTCGTAACCCCATCCTACATTGGGTTAAAACACTTCATATGCAAGGTACACTAATGAACAAAACACCGCAGGGAGCACCATAAATGGCATGTACTCCTGAACATGTGGAGAATGTCAGACTAGCCTTGCTGTGCAGGCCTCATTGATCTTCTCAGAAGCATTCTTCTAAACTTGCACTGATTCTGACATCAGTAATCGTTCGGTATGACATATTCTGCATTTAGACCTCTACAAATTGCATTTCCACCCCTACAAATTGGTCCAAGGATTGTGCACAGCAGGTAAACTTTGCACACAAGATGAAGGCAATTTTAGACAAAATGAAAATCTCATTTTCTTCATGAGTGAAGAAGCTTATTTTCATCTCAGTGACATGGTGAATCAACAGAACTACCACTATTGGGCTACCGAAACTCCAAAAGAATTACACGAAAAACCACTGCACAACCCAAAAGTGATGGTTTGGTGCGCCATTGGCAAAACTGGTGTCATCAGTCCTTACTTTTTCTAAAATTTTATAATGACAGGAGTGTAGTTACTATAAACTCGGAGTGCTATATCAAGATGATAAACTACTTCGTTTTATCTGAATTACAATGTTTCTGTTGTAATTCAGATAAATGTTATACAGTAGAGCGTCGTTTATCTGAATCAATTGGGGACTGGTGTTGTTCGGATAATTTATTTTTCAGATAACCGATTATGTACAAAAAAATATATTAACCTATCCCACGTTGAAATTTTTCTCCATTGCGTGTCGCTTTGCATTGAATTTTCGTTGATGTTAAGCCTAATGTAAGCATTTTAAAATAATAATTGTGGCTATTGTATCATTAAAAATTATTTCTTTATTTTTTACAAACAAAATAAATATATTGAAAAATATAAAAACAAAAAAAATTATACTTTAGAAGTTAATCTAGTGTGGTTTTTGCGTTGTTATTGCCTTTATCTTTTGTCGCTGCGAGTGGAAGAAATGAACGAGACGAGATCGTAACAAAAACTAAACTTTTATTGTCGTTCTTGCGTACTTGATACAGCACATCTCGACGATGCGGCTAACAAAGACAACTGGTTTTCGACAGTTTTGTGGGGTGAGTTCGAATTTATTCCAGGAAGTTATGACTCATACACCCAGGGGTAATTGCTTGTATTTTACAACCGTTAAGGGTACAGATGTGAAGGGCGGAGTTTGCCACAGAGTATCCCCCCAGTGAGGGACGAGCGATAGAATTGATGTCGAACAAGTCGCTTAACATTACATTATGGTGACTAGTCTTTTAGGAAAATGAACGTAATGGCCTGATCTAGTCGTGACGGTTTGATCTTCTCTAGAGGTAGTTTCCAGTTTTTTGTTGTTCGTTGTTGCTCCTGGATGAGAAAGTCCATGTAAGTGATTGAATATGATTTGTCGGAAATTATGCGGCACGAAGGGGCGAGGCATTCCGGATGATGTGTCACAGTATAGGTCGATTTCATTAAGTGGAAAGGATTTCAGCTCTAATTTGAGCGATATAGAATCCTTTAACAATTGATGAAGTTCCAAATCTGTAGCTTGCGTTGTGGCTAGCTCTCGAAAGTCTAGAGGGGAAGCAGAGGTGATAGAATCTATCTCGATGCGGGAGAGAGCATCTGCTATCGTGTTGGCTGTGCCCGGAATATGACGTATGTCCGTAGAGAATTGGGATATAAAATCGAGATGCCGCATTTGTCGCGGTGAACATTTATCTGGTTTTTGTTTGAGGGCATATATAAGTGGTTTTTGATCCGTGTAGATCGTGAATTCGCGACCTTCTAACATGTGGCGAAATCGTTTTATTGACGTGTATATTGCCAATAGTTCTCTATCATAACATGACCAGTTGCGTTGGTTTGGTGCCAGTTTTGCTGAGATAAAAGCGATGGGTTCCCATTTCCTGTTGTATTGCATCAGTGCTCCTCCAACTGCTGCATCTGACGCATCTACCCATATGCATAGTTTAGCTCTAGGTATTGGATGGTGGAGAAGTGTGGCTTTGGCCAGTGCTTCCTTAGCTGATATAAAGGATTGTTCTGCCGCTTCTGACCATTGCAGAGATTGTGATTCTGTTTTCCGAGTGAGTGACGTATGTTTCTCGTTCTTTTTTCCTTCTAGTAGTTGCACTAGCGGGGCGAAGATGTGTGCCGCTCGAGGATGCATCTCCTGTAGAAATTTATTATACCTAAGAATCATCTAAGTTGAGTGAGAGATGAAGGTTTGGGAAATTCTTGGATGGCTCTGACTCTATCAGGGAGTGGTTCCAGACCCTTTTCCGAGATCTTGAATCCGAGAAATTCGATTGATGGTATGCCAAATGTACATTTTGACGGATTTATGGTCAACCCATATTCCTGGAGACGTAGGAATAAGGCGCGAAGATGCGAGATGTGTTCTTCCTGGGAGCATGATGCTATTAGTATGTCATCGACGAAAGCATATGTGAAGGAGAGTCCTCTGGTTACTTTGTCGATGAACCGTTGAAATGTAGCGGATGCGTTGCACAATCCGAATTGCATCCTGGTACTCTCGAAAAGACCAAACAGTGTTGTTATAGCTGTTTTGTGAACGTGTGGTGGGTAGATGGGTATCTGATGCTAGGCCTTGATTAAGTCTATGTGAGAAAAGATTTGTGTTCCGTGCAGTTCCGATGTGAAATCTGTAATGTTTGGAACGCCGTATCTGTCCTTTATGGTTTGTGCGTTTAGAGCACGATAATCTCCCACGAGTCGCCAACCCAAACTGTTTTTCTTGGTGACCGTGTGGAGTGGTGATGCGTAATTGCTTTTTGATGTTCGCATATGGCCGAGAGCTATCATCTTACAAATTCGGCCTTAGCGATTTTAAGTCTATCGGGTGCTAGGTGACGTGGTTTTGCAGTTACGGGCAGACCAATCGTTTCCATATGATGTACTATGTTGTGTTTTACAAGTTGATTAGGACGTGGAGGTCTGGTGATCTCAGGAAATTCTTCCAATATCTTATGATATATGGAGTCATTGGTCGTTATCTTAATAGAGTGGATAAAGGTTTCTAATAATTTTCCTGGTGAGTTCACCTTTGTCTGAACGTCTGTGAGACATTTGCGTCTAAGATTCGGTACCAAATGGAAATGATACAAGAAATCTGCACCTATTATTGCCGTTGACACGTTGCCAATAAGGAATTTCCAGCAAAAAATTTTCTTTAACCCAAAATCAAGAGTGAGTGTTCATTGGTCGTAGACATGAATTGCAGTTGTGTTTGCTGCCATCAAGGTAATTTGAGAAGCACGCTTCTTTTGAGACAAGGAGGCTGGAAATATTGATACGTCGGAACCTGTGTCGACGAGAAAGTTTATGTTTGTTTTCTTGTCTAGGATGAACAGGCGACGAGATTGTTCCGGCAAAGTGCATGTCGCCTCTACGCTTCGCCGTTCTCGTTTGTTGGAAAACTACACGGAGGAGTACATTTTTGTGCCTTTGTGCCAAAACGGTTGTGGTACCAGCAGTAGTTGTTGATACTGCAATGAGTTGAATTGTTGCGATGTCCTGAACTGCTGCAGGAGCATCGATAAAAATGGTCACAGCGATCCCGACATGCCTGCGTTAGTTGATCGATTCGCTTGTTAAGTTTATCTATTTCGACTAGTATTTTGTTGGTTATGGTATCTGGTTTCTCAGGTTGCGACACTGAAGCTATCGTTGCGAGGGTTACTTCCACCATGCGGTCCGCTACCTCCGCTGCTTTGTCTACGTCGAGTGGGGTAATGGCGGCTAGGATGGATTGGACGGAAGTCGGAAGGTGTTGTATGAATAATTCTAGTATAACTGCGTCCGAGATTTGAAAATTTTCTGCCAGACACTTTAGAACACGTAGTAGTTCGGAGGGTTTGCGATCTCCTAGCTGTTCTCCAGCCAATAGTTTTCGTAACTCCTGTTGAGACGATTCACCGGATCGTTTAATAAGTTCCACCTTTATGTGACCGTACGGGTCTGTACAGTCTGAAGAAATAATAATGTCTCTAACCGTTGATGCAACTTCCGGTGGTAAATGGGCCACTACGTAGTTGAACTTTGTGGCACTTTCCGTGATCAGCTTTGGAGATCCTAGTGCAAATGTGCTTTTGCTAGGATCTCCAAATGCAAAATTGCAAATGTGGAACCATAAGGCTGGGTCGGAAAAGTTGTATGGAGGGATTTTTACCACTCCAATCTCGGCCATGATCTGACGACTGAGGTCTTGAGAAAAGGAAAAACAGCATACCTGATGAAGGTTCCAATGGTAGTTCTTAGTTGAATTATGTTCTTAGTCCGGCTCACCAATGTGGTTTTTGGGTTGTTGTTGCCTTTATCTTTTGTCACTGCGAGTGAAAAAAACGAACGAAACGAGATCGTAACAAAAACTAACCTTTTGATTCTGATGAAACCGTGTTGTTGTTATTAAGCTGTTTCTTTGCAGACACACTAAGGTGACATATATCAACACTATTAAGCTGTTTCTTTGCAGACACACTAAGGTGACATATATCAACACTTGGCAACAAGTTGCCAAGTGTTGATATATGTCACCTTAGTGTGTCTGCAAAGAAACAGGAAAAAACTAACCTTTTATTGTCCTTCTCGCGTACTTGGTACAGCACGTCTCGACGACGTGGCTAACAAAGACAACTGGTTTTCAACAGTCTTGTTGGGTGAGTTCGAATTTATTCCAGGAAGTGATGACTCATACACCCAGGGGTAATTGCTTGTATTTTACAACCATTAAGGGTACAGATGTGAAGGGCGGTGTTTGCCACACTAGTATCAAAAACGTTTGATTCAGCATGACACACACTCCTCAGAAAAACACCACACAAAAGTGCCAGTGCTGCCAGCTAAAACACACACATCAACCAAAAAAATATTGGAGTAGCCCAAGATATAGCCAAAGATTGCAGCGCCACGGCACTAGTGAAAATTTAAATTTGTCAGCTGAAATTCTTTCGGATAACTGACGTTTCAGATAACCAACTTTCGGATAAACGGCACTCTACTGTATTTCCATCAGATGTGTGTGGTTTCAACAGGATGGGGTGACAGCCCACACAGCTACAGCATCAATGAATGTTATTCGTCATCCCTTCTTTGGTCACCTCATTTCCAGGTTCAGTGACATTCATTGGCCTCCTCATTAGCCTGACCTATCCATGTGCGATTATTTCTTGTGGGGATACCTCAAGGCACATATATACAAGCTTAAGCCCTGTTCTTTGTCCTTGAACTGAAGGAAGCTATTCGCCAAAATTGACAGAGAGATACTGGAAAGAGTGGATGCTAACTTCCAAAACCGCCTCCAGAAATGCATCACTGATAACGGACACCACATGGGAGATGATGTTTTCCACACATGATTTTGTAAAATGCTATTTCAATATGAACTCAAATCTTCTAACAAATATCTTTTGTAGTAACAATCAGAGATGATGTGATTTTTTTTAGAAATGTCCATCCTTTCTGCCCCACCCTGTAGAACAAAATTTATAGGAAATATAAATCATTATAGGAGATGTAAGACAGGTATAAGACTGTAGATGGCAGAGATGCTGCTTCAATACACAACAAAAAAAAAGTACATATAAGTTAGCAAATGTAGGGAGGATTGGGTTATAAGTTAGGAACTCCAATAGACACCATAAACAATTCCACTTATCTAATACAGTAAACTAGTTTATTGTAATTACGGATATCATTACCAGTCATTTAATATTATCACAATTAGCATGTCCTAAATTAAATTAGTAAAACGTCATTCATTGTAATCAAAATTTGGTCATAATTATCATTTTGAATACATTCAAGAATAGGCTGAAAAGTTTTGCCTCTTCTGTCAAATTTTTGTTTTGAGTAGTGAAAACTGGATAAAAGTAATTAGTTCTGTTCAGATGCTGTTATCACCCATTCATCCCAAACTCAACCTGTTTCAGTCAAATTAGAAGGCTGTATGAATACAGGGTTCAAACATGTTCAATTATTTAATTTTTGACTGCCCAAAACATTCTTTCCATCAACATTCATCATTTTATATAAGTTTTATATCACAATAAATGTATTGATGTGACACACGAAGAAACTGCCAAATGTGATAATGCTAGGCCTCAAACAAGTATAGCTATTGATGTGACACACGAAGAAACTGCCAAATGTGATAATGCTAGGCCTCAAACAAGTATAGCAAACTGAGCCCCATACAAATTATTTACAATTTCATACACAGTTAAACTGCTTTAGTTACGTAGCATACAAAAATGAAAAACAGTTCTTTTTGGCTGTTCTCTGCAACAAAGACAGTGAAGTAACTCTAAACGAAGCTGAATATCTGAAAGAGTATTACACTCATGTATTCACTAAATATCATAAATGCAATATCATAACTTGAAAAAAATAAAGTTTTTATTTTGAAGGAGACTAATAGTTACATCTGTGAAGCAGATTATGAGAAATTATTTTGAAGAGAAAGAAAAGAATGTTTCAAGTTTTATTGTGACATTATGTTGCTATTTTGATATTGATGTAAATTCTGTTTGAATTTTAGAATTTGTGTATATAGACTTTTTAAAATTACATTTTAAAGTCAAAATAACTGATAATATGGGCCTGACGAAATGTCTACTTAATTAAAAATTATTTTGTTATAAGCAGATGTGTCAACATTTTTTACATAAATTTTAAACTTATTTTTTACTTTCTATTTATTATTACTATTATTCGTTTCCTTTTTTAATTTTTATTCGTGCATCTCTGCTTTCTAAATTTACTCTTTTTATTTATCATATTGCCAAATATATTTTTTTTAACTTATGATTTTTATGTTTTTATTAGATGTATTTTTATATACCTTTCCACTGTATATGTATTTTATGTATTGTGTTGTAGCTTTGTTTATATTTTCTTTGTTTTACTCTACTTTTAATCTTTCTTTTGGGCTTAGTGTAATTGGGTGGCAGAAATCAACTGCCTGATGGCTTTTCTAAAATTTAATGTAAAACAAATAAATAAATACTATTGTTGGCTTGGGATTCAATGTTATCATATCCAGCTTATAGTCTAGACCTTGCTCCTAGCAGTTTCCACTTGTTTCCCAAATTGAAAGACCTCTAGAGCCAAATAGTTTAGCCAAAACTAACAAAAATAGTCAACTGCAGGTACACCACTGGTCTTGGGTAAAAAAAAAACTTTTTCAGGGTGGAATTAAGAAATTTGGCAAAAGTGTATTAAAGATACTCTGAGATTAAGTGGAAAAGTAATTATTCACAATTGCAAATAATGATAAAAGTACATTTAAGTTTTTTTGTTTTACTCAAGTATCTTATTTCCTTTTTTATTTAGGGAAAGGCAAAACTTTTTAGTCTGCCCTCATAGACAATTTTAAGCTGTCTTCTTTTACCATCAGTCACAATTTATGGGTACTAAACTGCCAAACTATCGCCTAAATATCGGGCTATTATATGGCTAATTAAATGATTAGAATAAAGTAATTTGTCATTAGAGGTAGGCGTAAGGCGCCATCTCTTAAGTAAATTTAATTTACTTAAGAGATGGCGCCTAACGCCTACCTCTAATGACAAATTACTTTATTCTAATCATTTAATTAGCCATATAATAGCCCGATATTTAGGCGATAGTTTGGCAGTTTAGTAGATATACTATTCGGGCTTTGAATGTTGTATTTACAATTTATGAGTGATAATGTGCAATCGTTATCAGTCTTAACAGTGCTTTATACATTAAACATTAACTTTTTAATTGTTATTTGTTCATAATATAGTAATTATGTCACCCCGGACTTGCACATTATGCATGGTGTGCTCTATCTTAGAGATTTATCTATCAGGGCCTGCCAGGCCATCGATAGAGTGATTTCATCCTTGTAGTTAATGCAATTATGTCCTTCACTTGTGTTTAGGCATATGTAGATCGCCTCCATCCATCTGAGTTGGTTTGTACAGTGTGTGGTGTGAATGACCTTTGCTTGAGAGAATATGGGTTCTATGTTAGGGTCCAACGAGTATACAGCAAGAGCTGTGTTGGTTCTTTCATGGTTGATATCTGCTTTATGCTCTTTGATCCGGGTTACTAGGGGACATTTAGTTGATCCTATGTAGATCGTGTTTCTATCACACCTGTGATCAATGATAGGGATGGTGTCGGACCCTGACATAGAACCCATATTCTCTCAAGCAAAAGTCATTCACACCACACCGAACGAACCAACTGAGATGGCTGGAGGCGATCTACATATGCCTAAACACAAGTGAAGGACGTAATTGCATTAACTACAAGAATGAAATCACTCTATCAATGGCCTGGCAGGCCCTGATAGATAAATCTCTAAGATAGAGCACATCATGCATAACGTGCAAGTCCGTGGTGATGTTATCGGGTCGGGACATCATTCCAGATCGTATATAGTAATTATGACCTGCAAAAAAAAACAGGCAAACAACACTGGATAAAAAAGTAAATTTTCAAATTTTTTGTTTTAATTGTTTTAACATATCTGTTTAATATCAGTCGGTAAAATCAGAATTTCTACTAAGTATAGGCTTATTTATTTATCCAACTAATGTTTCTATATCATTCAGTTATTAGTTATCATTAAAAGTCTCAAATGACAACAATAATCAAATCCCAGATTATGGTGAATACTAAAAAGCCACTCAGAAGTACAGTACAGTACCTGAACTTAATACATATCAAAACAGAAAAGTACAGTCGACCCCCCTATAATTACGGTCCCTATAATTACGATTCCTATGAAACTACGAAAAAATTGTGACCAGTATCCGTAAAAAACAGTAAAAACTCCCTATAATTACCTCAAACGTCATCGGGCAGCCGAACTACTTTCCCGCCGTCCGTAATGCCACGCTACGGAGAGATTTCTATCGTCTGGACAGTATTATATAAATTATATATAAATTAGGTACTGTACATATAATTATATATTAATTATATATAAATTAGGTACTGTATATATAATTATATATTAACTTATTGTAACTTTGTTATAATTAAATATATAATTTCCGCCGTCTAGCGTGGCGCCACGCTACGGAGATTTTTACGCTAACTATCGTCTGTCAGTATGTAAATTAGGTACCGTAAGTCTAATACAGTACTGTAATTTTATACATTTCTTGTGAAAGAAACATTTCTTATTCAACGGCGATTAAAATTATTTATATTAATGATGTCTCCGAAGTTCAAGGAACTATTCGCAGAAAAATAAGTTATTAGAAATCGGCCGCGGTTTGCTGAGCTGTTCCGCGACGAAAACAATGTTGAGCAATGGCGATGTCGAATGGTGACACTTGGTAAGTAATCCTACAATTTTTTATTTATAGTGTAGTTTATACGGATTATTTCCAAAAAAAATATACGTATTTTGGAAATGTTGAGTCAGATTAGTCTAGAATCGATTAATTTTATGGAAGAAAACCTTTCAATCAGCCATAGTCCATAAACTTGACACGTATCGGGCTGTGATTGAAATGACTCGTAAGAAATCGGATTCCTAAAGAATGGAACGTATCTATATCTTATAGGGGGGTCGACTGTAATCAAGTTAAAAATAAATTCAAGCAGTCTTTTATACTAAATTAATTGAAAGATATTCAAATAAAAATGTCAAATGTGTAAAAGACCAAACTGAAATGTCTTTATGCTTTTACACAATAACTAATTTGGAAGCAATGAAAGGAATTATATGTAAAGAACTGTCCATCAACAAATCAATACCATGTATCCATAACTTACTATAAATAAAAATCTTCAAACACCAGATTAATATAAAAATAATACCTCATCAAACCTTTAACCGGTATTAAATTTGATTAAGATTAGATGCAAACATTTTCGGATCCTTCCCTGGGTCCTTTCTCAAGCACAGATTCTTCTTTAAAATTCGTTAAAAAGACCAGTAGAACGAACTTCATTTGAATGCGACATTCGAAAAAATATAAATCCTTCAGAGCTACATTTCAAAAGTCAAACAAACGTGAATCACGTGCATTCCAGTATTCCATAAACAACATTCGTTACGTAATGATGCCCGGTATTCTTAAAACGATTTTTATGGATGTGTTACATTAACGAAAAATAAAAAAAAAAGAGCATATCAGCGGGAATGATGTTTTAATACCCAATTTACTATAAGTATTTATGAACGTGTATCTTCCTTCTGGAGTAGGGCCTGCCATGCTAGGGACAGGGTAATTTCATCCCTCGAGTTAATAGGTGCCGAAGTGTAGTATGCTTTGCAAATTTCCATTGCAAAGCATACTACACTTCACATTTGTTTGACTTTTGAAATGTAGTTCTGAAGGATTTATATTTTTTCGAACGTCGCATTCAAATGAAGTTCGTTCTACTGGTCTTTTTAACGAATTTTAAAGAAGAATCTGTGCTTGAGAAAGGACCCAGGGAAGGATCCGAAAACGTTTGCATCTAATCTTAATCAAATTTAATACTGGTTAAAGGTTCGATGAGGTATTATTTTTATACCATGTATCCATTTTATTCCTTAAAATGAAATCAAATAATATACTTCATTGTATTCTTTACAGCATATTGCTCCTATTGATTTTTTATTAAACATATAATGATAGAAATAAAGTTCCAAATGATAATATTTTAATTCAAATAATACTTTATAAATTTTATTTTTTCTAATTAATGATTTTCTTGATTTTAGTGATCAAGTTTTCAATTAAAATTTTATAACTAAAAACAACTTACTGGTTAAACAAAAATACTTCACAACCATTATTGAATTTCACCTATCTTACTAAATATCACAGTAATATGAATCTCACATTTGATTTTTTGATTCTCATACCTTAATCCTTGGATCACATCACTCAAATCGCATTACATAATGACTAAAAACTATTTAGAATAATATATTTACACTGAAGCACCCTGCTTAAAGCAAATTGCATGACTCCAAGAAGTATAAAAAATAGCAGAATGCTAGAATCACTGAAGTCCAAATATAATTTTCTTCAGATAAAAGAAAATATGGACTCCTTTAGTAATTCTAGAATTCCACCGTTCATTATAATATATTTACTATTTTTTCCCATTATTCAGACATAATATCTCACAAAAAATCTGTAATAATTAAACAATTTAACAGTTAATGAGAAATCCAATAAAATCTGAAAAAATATTGAAATTTGGTAACAAATATCTCAATTTTCCTATTAAACTCTTTCTTAATGAGAATTAGAAATTATTCATTTAACTTAATTTCATTCTTTTTACTTTTTGTATATATTATATAGTAGAAACCCTATAAATCACCTCACTAGATTAACATTTTATCAATATAAATAAAGACAAGTTTAAATAGCAGAGATGATAAATATAGATGACATAGATAAGATTAAAACTTAAAACAAGTGATATGTAAATAAGATGCTTTGCGTAAAATTTCTTCATTATCAGCTGTCAGCTATTAGATTGACTTTGCTCAAAAAAACAAATCCTACATCTAGTTATGCTTGTAAACAGACTAATAAAAATTTAGTGAAGTGTCGAAAGTCTGAACTAATTGGGGCCAGATTCCATCCAGATTTTCAAATATGTGTAAATTAGAATTTTAATATTCATTTTTCAATCGCTGAATCCAGATTTTTCATGTTTGGGTTTTCAATGCTTCACTGTATACATTTTGTCTTACATAAAGCTTTAAAGGAATTTACATAAACTATAATATTTTTAACAAAATTACTTGATGTTTTTATATTTCTTTCCAATTAATCAACCAACCACCAGTCCCACTCTATTTGAAATTCATACAGAAATACTTAATCTGTATCATAGTCATTTTAAATTCATATTCTGAGACTTCTGATAAAACAAGAACAATAAATTTAAAAACAAAAGGAGAGGAAGAAATCATTTAAAGAGTAGTTAAAACTGTTAAAATCTCTGCATACATTTCACATTTCAATATAAAAATAAATCTTATACTAGTTTAACTAATTTTTACATAATTAAAATAATAACTGAAGATAAACCAACAGCATATGCAAGAAACAAACATAATTTAAACATACTAAAAATTAAAACAACACAGGTAATCCAATATAAAATCAATCTTTCAAAACTCAAAATAAAACATTTATATAATTATTAAATAATTAAAAAATAATTTAGAATTCTGAATAATCAATATGAAGTTTAAAAATGTAATAGTTATTTAATGATAAAACAAACTAGTTTCAGGGTATGTTGACTCCGTGTAATATCAGGTGAAACATAAATGCTATAAAGTTCGAGTCAAAACTTCTTTATCAGATAAAACATTGTTCTCAGCAGATCGAAAACTTTTCAAATCAGGAATTCAAGAGTTTTGACTCCTATAATCTTTACTGCATTTGTGTTTCTCATAATAAAACAATCTGAAGGAAAATCATTTGTTAATTGACATTAACACAAACTGTATTCTGTGATGGAATAGTTGTCTATAAAAAAATGCATTAAGGTCTGAAGGTAAAGGATGGAAAACTCTAACCAATTTGATCCAACAAGATGTTGAAAGAGGATATAAAACAAACACTTCTAAAAATTCAAAAAATATAGCACACAACAAAACATTAACAATTAACTAATGTTTTCAACCATATTCACCAAAGGGCATCCTTGGGAAAACAACAAATATGGTCAAAAACATTTCTCATTTCTAGATGTTTTGGTGTTTTAGAAGTATTTATTTTATATTTACATTCAGTTTTTCAAAGATTGCTGCATTTTTTAATAAAATGACGACACGACGAGAAACAAATGCATGAGCGTTAAGTTTTAGCCATATAAAGAACTTACCACACAGTATTGACAGCTGGAGAAATCATACAAAGACAGATGTTATAATAAAAAAATGAATTGTGTTCATCCATCTCTGTGCAATCTCTCCCACTGCATCAATAGCATGTGATAAGTCCACCATAGATAGTGTGACCAGATGTGCCCGGTTTTACCTGTTTTTACTATCTCATCGTAGAATCAATCTTCGATCTTATTAACACTCCAATATCGCCAATTTATATATCAATAAATAGATACATTTTTTAAAATAACCAAAGTTCAATCAGTTTTAGATCCCATTTTTAATGGCTGCATTCAACAGAGTCAACAGGTGTAACCGAGCAAAGGCATTTCAATCGGTAGCCATTATGTAGTTACATCTGCCGAACACCGAGCGATGTACAGTCATTGGTCAGTTTCACATAGCGAAAATGAAAGATGCTAATAAATGTGACATCAAAATACCAAACACATTCTGAAACAGTAAAGGGTATTTGGCAGAATACTCAACAGCTCCGGAACTGTCAAGTATTTTTCTGCAGAACGTACAGTAGCGCTCTTTTGGAATGTTTGATGTTTTGACATCACATTTGGTAGCATCTTTCATTTACATTATCTGAAACTGACCAACGATAGCTACTTTTTGTTCCGACGCATACATCATTCATCATTCAGCAGATCCAGATTGCTATATAACAGCTGCTGATTTGCTCAATTACAACTGTCGAGTCTGCCGAATGCAGTCAATGCATCCCCAGCCGGAGCATAAATGTCACAGTCGGCCTACCACAGAGCCAAAACTTAGCACTCGCATATTCATTTAAAGTAATATGACACAAAGCACATCACCAAACAATGATTTGAACAAATGAAAATGAATTAATATGGATAAATATAAATAAAAATGAATATTGAAGACTAAATAGCTGCATAAGTTATGGGAATGTAAATGATAGTAAATATGGAAGAGTAATCCAGATTGTTTTTATTATTGAAGGAAAGACAGGCGATAAATAATACTACGACAATGATTTCTGTGTATGTTTAAACTTTAAGTGTTATATTTCCAATATATTTGGTATATTCAATAATTCAAAATAAACAATAGAATGAATGAAGTAGTATATTTAACACAAGTTGGTATTCATTTTTTCAGCAACCCAAAAATAGGCCTAACGAATTTCTGATCAAAATAATCGTACCTATTAAAATATTTTACTCTTCTTTCTACATTACATCTTAAAACTGATAATTCTTCGATTATGTGGTAATTCTTACTACTTTTTTTGTTTTATTAATTTAATTCTTTAAAGTTTTAATCGTCAAAATATACAAAACTCGATACTTCCGACATTACTCCATTTTGTAATATCCTCGACCTCGGCGACTACTACAACTAATCCCTAAATTTATTTAATTTAAAAAAAAAAACTATTCTTTCGTATATAAAAAAATAATTCTTAAATATTGAAAATTATTAAAAAGTTATTATTATTGTCACAGATAACGTTCAAAATAAATAGAAAATATATTTCAATGACGTCACGACGATTACGTGATGTAATGCAATTATCCTTTTGTTATTTTATGATAATTTTTAAATAAATGTTTTTAATATGTTTTAAATTAAAATTAATTGTTTAATTGTATTACACTTTACATCTTTAAATAATAAATTTTTCTTAAAAATCATTTCAATTGTTATAATATTATAATACAGTATTTAGCTTTTTCTATATGAATTTATTTTTATTTTTTCGCATATTTTAAAAAATTATTATCAATTAAGTAATATCTAATTTATAAATTTCATTAATTATTTAAAATTATAAAATAAATTGATTTATGATCCATCTGGAATTTTAATTATAAAGAAAGTATATATAATCATTTTTAAAAAAAATGTTTNGATTTTTTTACTGAGTATTTCAAGAATCATAGATATTCCAAACATGAATATAACAATGAATCATCTAAATTTATCCAAATTCATTAAAACATCTTAACAGAATTGTGTAAGAAACCAGATATGAACTGAAAACACCTCATTACTCTAATTGTGCTAACAGTAATTTGCTAGCAATTAGAGTATTTTCAATGTTTAAATTATATTTGTCTGTGTATCTTGCTGTTTTTCGATGGCAAGTAACTGAAAACTGTTAGGTATATTAAATACTTGGATTGGATGTCACACCAACAGTTGTGTTAATTCAATTAGAAACTTCAGACTAGGAGGCATTAAAGAGAATTAAAGGAATATTTTAATCTTGCAAGCATTTTTAATGTAAATATATACGTTGTCCTCAGGCAACTCAAAATCAAAAAATTCTCTTTAATGCTTCCTAGTCTGTAGTTTCTAATTGAATTAAAACTGAAAACTGATCTGCAATTAACAGCCAGATAACTATGACAGTAAAAACATCAACCTTCTATTCTGAAAGATATGCATTATAATTAAGTTAGAACTTCAAACTTATATATATGTTATGATTTGGATACATTAGTAATGAGGAACAGAGGCACAAGTTGCCTCTGCTGTGGATCTGACTGAATCCATAATAGGCACAAAGACCCTCTCCTAGTAACAACACATTGAAGAGTTTAAAAAACTCAAATAGCATCTGAAAATATTTCAGACTTTGCATTATTCTCATTTTGATAGGATAAAGCAAACAGGTAGGTGCCTTCTAGGAGGACTTATATAAGAAACTAGTTTCCATTTAGGTGGTAGACATGCAAAGAGAACCTGAAAAACTCTATGTGGCCAATAGCTCATTGGTCAGACACAAACCGTAATCAATTACCACTATTTAGTTGATTTTACCCACTAGCCACTGTTAGAGTACATTATTCTTGGTTAAAAGAAGTTTTTCATCAACAATTTTTCATCTACGTAGTATGGGTGCTGTATAATACTGTTGTACACTCTGTCAGAAAAGTTCCAGGACAAAGCTCGTAAAAAAATAGAAGATTGCAATTACCAAGTAATGATTCTAACTCCTGTTAAAGTAGTCCCCTCAGCTATCTATACACAATTGCCAATGTTTCTGGAGGTCTTGGAAGCAAGCAGAGAAAGCTTCAAGTGTGATGCTTGTAACTCATTTGTCACAACCCATTGGATATCTGCAATATATTGACAAAACATCCCTTTCGGTTGCAACCCTTTGTCAGAAAAGTGTTTTATTTATTTATTTTTTTTTTCTGAAGGTGAAAAAGCAACTGAAAGGGATGGGACATTTTATCAAGATATTGCAAGCATCCAACGGGCTGTGACAAATGAGCTAACAAGCATCACACTTGAAGCTTTCTCTGCTTGTTTCCAAGACCTCCAGAAACATTGGCAATTGTGTATAGATAGCTGAGGGAACTACTTTTACTTTGACAGGAGTTAGAATCATTACTTGGTAATTGAAATCTTTTATTTTTTACATGCTTTGTCCTGGAACTTTTCTGACAAAGGATGTATTAAAGTTTTTTTCATTTTCTAATTAAATTAATTTGACTTCTTATAAACTTATGATTGATATATAAATAAATATCTACATAAACTAATTCAGTTTTATAATACAAGTTAATCAACAATAAATTATTTAAACAGTTACTCTAATCTAGGGACGGTGAACCATTTTGAATCCACATACTACCTAGTGAGCAAAATTATCTACCTCTTTTCACTCACTGTTTCATCCCATATTTCCATACACAGTGATTACTTTTTTGGCTTTGACATGTCATATGTTTAGCGAGAAAAATGCTTAGAAATTGTTTTAAACACCTCCAATCATTCACTGTTGCTGGTATGTTTATTTCACTATTTTTCCAATAGATAGCATTATGTTACAGAAATTATTTAGCCATTTTTGGCAGGAAAATTTAATTTTGTTTTGGAATCTGAAAATGCCTATGTAACTTGTTTTTCATAGTTTTTCTTTCAAAACAAATAAAATTATTTTACTCTTATAAAGAAAAAGTGTGTGTAGGAGCTAACTTTTTGCATATTTTTCATCAAAATTACGTATTAAATATTAATGATAAAAAAAATATCAGTCTTTTTTCTTTCAGAAAAAATGAGAGACTGAGAAGGGATTAAAAATGTTTGTGTGCACTTAAGTTTTAGGACTTGTAATAATGATACTTAATTAATTTGCTTTAACTAAGATAAATGTTAACAAACTGACTGAAAAAAGGGTGATCAAGTTAATGTATTATATGATTCTGGTTTGTTATGTACTACACGATTTCTCTTGATGTGTCACTTTGGGCACGTGTACCATAGGTTTGCCACCCTTGCTGTAGTATAGATACAATATTTACTAAGTTTGTTTCTGAAATTCACTTTCAAAGTCACTGAATGTAAGAATCTCAAGAAGTAACGTCTACTACCTCTAGGAATTGCTGTAAATAAAAATGGCAACTCTTCAACAAAGAAGTTAGTGTTCTGCAGTTAGTAAAGTCAGAATCACTCCTCATTGTGCAACAAAAATAATCTGCAGGAGCTGTAAAATTATAGCTGCTTTAGGAGAAGAGATTATAGCAAGCATAGGAAGAATCAAGTATTGGTTGGATGTGTGCTGTGCCGTGAGGTGCACACACTGAGAAATTGTAATGGTGCAAATGTGAAACTTGGACAGTTTTACAATCTTTTAATATACATTAAAACATTCTTAAATAAATATTAGGGGCAGTCAAATGAAAACGAGACAGACATAACAAGTGTGGCACGGAAGTTGGTAATGCAGGTAGGTGTGTATAGTGCCCTCTATTGGGAATCAGGAAGGAACAGCGTGAATGTTCACCGCTGTGCCATTTGTCTGTTAGACGTGCTCAAAGTGAGGTCAGCGAGTTGTGTGTTCATCCACCATCACTATGGAGGTCTGCTGCTTGTTGACTTTTGGAACACGGTGCCACAATTAACGCACAGCGATACATAGAAACTCTGCAAAAATTGAAGCGTGCCATCAAATCCAAACACCCAGGAATGTTGATAGACAGCATCATTCTGTTGCAGGATAATGCCCATCCACATGTTACCAAGATTGTTTTGACTACGGTATAGAAGTTTCGCTGGAAACTTCTGCAGCGTAGTCCATACAGTCCCAATTTCTTCCCATGCGATTTCCATATTTTTGGAGCCCCAAAGAAAGACATTCATGGCTGTCAATTTGCTTCGGACAAAAAGGTGCATGCTTGGATACAATTATGGTTCCGTAGGCAACCGCAAACATTTTTCTATGAAAACATTTACCGTCTTGTCTCAGTGGGATAAATGTATTAACAATTATCGCATTTACTTTTGAAATAATAAACAGTTTACTTACTTTTTCCCATCTGTCTCGTTTTCATTTGACTACACCTAATAATTAACATGATTACAATAATTTAAAATGGTACAATTTGTTTTGAAAGACCATGTCTTTGGAGATACTTAAGCCAATTTGTTTTGCCAACATTTCTGAACTTGTTCCTCCACAATGAAAGATTGACAACTTACTGTGTGAATTACAGAATACTAATACAAAGCTTGGACCCAAAACTAAACTATAAAATTGATTATTAAAAAAAAACGTTTTCTGTAGTATGTTTCATTTATCAATTGGAATATTTTACAGAATGACATTCAAATTTAACACATCACAAAATGAATTTAGTTATTAAAAAGAAATCTTTAAAATTAGAATAAAATATTGAATTTCCTACCTACACTCATCTTTGGTACTTCATTTTATTCTGAAGCAAAATAATCGAGATTAAAAGATAACAAATTAGCTTTTAATATTTATAGCAAATTTTACCTGAGGAAAGCATGTGCTTCCATGCTTCTGTTTTGATTACTGGAACATACTACAGCTATTTTGAGGTCCGGCATGTTTGGACTTTTTGGAGTGGCTCGATTTCACAATTTTCTACGACTTCAGTATAAATGTTTTGGTATTAACATGGCTGAAAAATAATTGGAAGTTTTTTAAAACACATTACGTTATATGCATTAATAATACTCATTTTCAGCAATTCATTAGATGGTGGAGTAAAAACCTATAAATGTAAAGTAAATGGCATTAAATGCTAATGCTAGATTAACTTTTGAGCTAGAATTTGGCTAATCTATCACAAAAGTCTGGCATTATCATTTTACTATTAGAATAAAGTCAACAGTATTGCATAACTTCATGTAATTAAAATCAGCTACACGTAAACAGCATTGATTCTGTCAACATTAACTCAAGTTTTCCATCATATATAATAAATAATACTTAATACATATAAGTGATGAGTTCATTCAAATGAATCATTAAAATCTGTAAAATTCTTTCATATGAACTATAGCAACTAAAGATGCATAATACTAAAGTTTTGTTTTAAATCACTTCTTTTTTGAGAGATTGTCCTTTATTTTAAGATTAAAAAGTATCAAAAAGAAACAAGTGAATGAATTGAATGATTTTGATAATCAAATGATCAGTTATTTTTTATTAAAATAAACCCATCATTATATTATATGAAGAAAATTTCAAAACAAGAACTATAGTTAAAACACTGTAAGACTGGAATATATTACTGTATATCATTAAAAACAGAACACCTCTGAACCTTAAAAGTACAATTCCAGAATAGTTTAATGCAGATAAAACACAAATGTTTTCAATCTACATAGGAGATCTTCAGGTTAAAGCATTCTCAAATGGAATGCAGAAAATTTTCTGCATTCCATTTGAGAATGCATTTCTTGATATACAACAAAGAAAAAAAAACATAGTACACCTAATTGTCTGTTTATGCATAATCCTCTTTCAAATAAACATTCAGAAATGATTCTAACAAGAAAAACTTTCCAACCCATACATGAAATAGGCCTCTATGGATATTTTGAAGACCTTCAAAAATGATTTAAAATTTTAAAGTGAAAAAATCCAAGACTATTTCTCAAAATAATGCTAAAAATGAACTGTTACCACTTTACTGGAGATGGCCATGAGATCATAAAACACAACAAATGCCATTACACAGACTACTTCCCGGAGGCAATCAGAATCACGCTGCCCATTCTGTTAAGCTTATCATGTGTTTTACAAGCAATTGGAGACTATACTTTGCAAAGGGTTACATGTAGACTAGGGGTGTTCAACCTTTTTATTTCTCTGAGCCACATTGGAAGAAGTCATGAAGTTCTGGGCCACAAGTATATTTAAGGATTTACATGTCTAGATTATAGTAATAAGTATTAAAACTTTATCACAAAAAAGATATTTTAAAAAAATACTTCTACAGACATTTAATTTCTACTTAGAAATAGATAAATTTATTTATTATAAAGGAGACAAACAAAAATTTATTTGAAAAACACAAATATTTCTTTTATTTGGGTCTTTAATAAAAAAAACAATGAAACAACATTTTAAAGTGCATTTTTATTCAACTAATATATTTATAAATAATATGTAGCTCAAAATGTAGCCAGTGCGCCAAATGATATTTTTTTACACTAAACTAAAAAAAAAGGGTAGCCAAATCTTGCAACGCCAAAAGGAATATTAAATAAACCTAGAGTTGGGATTCAAAGGATTATAGACCCAAATTTGGGGAAAGGAGAGAAAGGTCAAAAAATAAAGAAGTGAGAAAGGTTAAATAAACCTTCTGTTATGCAAATATTGATCCTTAATTTTCCAATCTTTCCCATTTCTTTTTATCTTTTGGCCTTTCTCTCTTTTCCCTAAATTTGGGACTATAATCCTTCGAGTCATGACTCCAGCTTTATTTAGTATTCCTTCCTCATTCACACATTTCAAGTATTTGAAAATATTTTCTTTCTATTAAAAAATAAAATATGTATAAAGGTTTATGGCTTTGTGAAACTTATTTTTTGAGGTTTATGCTGTTAAAATAAATAAATAAAAAACTTGCTGGTTTTGTTTACACGTTTATTGGGCTGCATTGGAACTTGTCTTGGGCCTCATGCGGCCCACGGGCTGGACACCCCTGATGTAGACCATCGGTTTGTTTGATTTTTTTTACTCCTACGGGCATGGTCTACAGCTCTGATAAGGTCCCAACTAACTCATTAATAGCTGCACTTGTGCCAAATATTGGACAAAATACTGGCACTTGAAATGAACAGATAATACCGTGGAAAATTATACAGAAAAGTGCATATAATCTAACAGCCATCAAATTAAACAAACTTTATGAATATTAAATATCTTTTACAAAGGTAATGTTTCCATTACAATAACTGTGGCAAAACTCTCCAAATTGGCAAAATAACAACCACTTAAACAAAATTTCAGAAAACAAAAACAATTTAATTTCTATTCTCACTTCCTCAGCCGTATCTTTACAAATATAAACAAAACACCATACTCTTGCTGAGCTTATTATTACTTTAATTTCTAATAAGAAATTAAAGTAATAATAAGCTCAGCAAGAGTATGGTGTTTTGTTTATATTTGTAAAGATACGGCTGAGGAAGTGAGAATAGAAATTAAATTGTTTTTGTTTTCTGAAATTTTGTTTAAGTGGTTGTTATTTTGCCAATTTGGAGAGTTTTGCCACAGTTATTGTAATGGAAACATTACCTTTGTAAAAGATATTTAATATTCATAAAGTTTGTTTAATTTGATGGCTGTTAGATTATATGCACTTTTCTGTATAATTTTCCACAGTATTATCTGTTCATTTCAAGTGCCAGTATTTTGTCCAATATTTGGCACAAGTGCAGCTATTAATGAGTTAGTTGGGACCTTATCAGAGCTGTAGACCATGCCCGTAGGAGTAAAAAAAATCAAACAAACCGATGGTCTACATCAGGGGTGTCCAGCCCGTGGGCCGCATGAGGCCCAAGACAAGTTCCAATGCAGCCCAATAAACGTGTAAACAAAACCAGCAAGTTTTTTATTTATTTATTTTAACAGCATAAACCTCAAAAAATAAGTTTCACAAAGCCATAAACCTTTATACATATTTTATTTTTTAATAGAAAGAAAATATTTTCAAATACTTGAAATGTGTGAATGAGGAAGGAATACTAAATAAAGCTGGAGTCATGACTCGAAGGATTATAGTCCCAAATTTAGGGAAAAGAGAGAAAGGCCAAAAGATAAAAAGAAATGGGAAAGATTGGAAAATTAAGGATCAATATTTGCATAACAGAAGGTTTATTTAACCTTTCTCACTTCTTTATTTTTTGACCTTTCTCTCCTTTCCCCAAATTTGGGTCTATAATCCTTTGAATCCCAACTCTAGGTTTATTTAATATTCCTTTTGGCGTTGCAAGATTTGGCTACCCTTTTTTTTTAGTTTAGTGTAAAAAAATATCATTTGGCGCACTGGCTACATTTTGAGCTACATATTATTTATAAATATATTAGTTGAATAAAAATGCACTTTAAAATGTTGTTTCATTGTTTTTTTTATTAAAGACCCAAATAAAAGAAATATTTGTGTTTTTCAAATAAATTTTTGTTTGTCTCCTTTATAATAAATAAATTTATCTATTTCTAAGTAGAAATTAAATGTCTGTAGAAGTATTTTTTTAAAATATCTTTTTTGTGATAAAGTTTTAATACTTATTACTATAATCTAGACATGTAAATCCTTAAATATACTTGTGGCCCAGAACTTCATGACTTCTTCCAATGTGGCTCAGAGAAATAAAAAGGTTGAACACCCCTAGTCTACATGTAACCCTTTGCAAAGTATAGTCTCCAATTGCTTGTAAAACACATGATAAGCTTAACAGAATGGGCAGCGTGATTCTGATTGCCTCCGGGAAGTAGTCTGTGTAATGGCATTTGTTGTGTTTTATGATCTCATGGCCATCTCCAGTAAAGTGGTAACAGTTCATTTTTAGCATTATTTTGAGAAATAGTCTTGGATTTTTTCACTTTAAAATTTTAAATCATTTTTGAAGGTCTTCAAAATATCCATAGAGGCCTATTTCATGTATGGGTTGGAAAGTTTTTCTTGTTAGAATCATTTCTGAATGTTTATTTGAAAGAGGATTATGCATAAACAGACAATTAGGTGTACTATGTTTTTTTTTCTTTGTTGTATATCAAGAAATGCATTCTCAAATGGAATGCAGAAAATTTTCTGCATTCCATTTGAGAATGCTTTAACCTGAAGATCTCCTATGTAGATTGAAAACATTTGTGTTTTATCTGCATTAAACTATTCTGGAATTGTACTTTTAAGGTTCAGAGGTGTTCTGTTTTTAATGATATACAGTAATATATTCCAGTCTTACAGTGTTTTAACTATAGTTCTTGTTTTGAAATTTTCTTCATATAATATAATGATGGGTTTATTTTAATAAAAAATAACTGATCATTTGATTATCAAAATCATTCAATTCATTCACTTGTTTCTTTTTGATACTTTTTAATCTTAAAATAAAGGACAATCTCTCAAAAAAGAAGTGATTTAAAACAAAACTTTAGTATTATGCATCTTTAGTTGCTATAGTTCATATGAAAGAATTTTACAGATTTTAATGATTCATTTGAATGAACTCATCACTTATATGTATTAAGTATTATTTATTATATATGATGGAAAACTTGAGTTAATGTTGACAGAATCAATGCTGTTTACGTGTAGCTGATTTTAATTACATGAAGTTATGCAATACTGTTGACTTTATTCTAATAGTAAAATGATAATGCCAGACTTTTGTGATAGATTAGCCAAATTCTAGCTCAAAAGTTAATCTAGCATTAGCATTTAATGCCATTTACTTTACATTTATAGGTTTTTACTCCACCATCTAATGAATTGCTGAAAATGAGTATTATTAATGCATATAACGTAATGTGTTTTAAAAAACTTCCAATTATTTTTCAGCCATGTTAATACCAAAACATTTATACTGAAGTCGTAGAAAATTGTGAAATCGAGCCACTCCAAAAAGTCCAAACATGCCGGACCTCAAAATAGCTGTAGTATGTTCCAGTAATCAAAACAGAAGCATGGAAGCACATGCTTTCCTCAGGTAAAATTTGCTATAAATATTAAAAGCTAATTTGTTATCTTTTAATCTCGATTATTTTGCTTCAGAATAAAATGAAGTACCAAAGATGAGTGTAGGTAGGAAATTCAATATTTTATTCTAATTTTAAAGATTTCTTTTTAATAACTAAATTCATTTTGTGATGTGTTAAATTTGAATGTCATTCTGTAAAATATTCCAATTGATAAATGAAACATACTACAGAAAACGTTTTTTTTTAATAATCAATTTTATAGTTTAGTTTTGGGTCCAAGCTTTGTATTAGTATTCTGTAATTCACACAGTAAGTTGTCAATCTTTCATTGTGGAGGAACAAGTTCAGAAATGTTGGCAAAACAAATTGGCTTAAGTATCTCCAAAGACATGGTCTTTCAAAACAAATTGTACCATTTTAAATTATTGTAATCATGTTAATTATTAGGTGTAGTCAAATGAAAACGAGACAGATGGGAAAAAGTAAGTAAACTGTTTATTATTTCAAAAGTAAATGCGATAATTGTTAATACATTTATCCCACTGAGACAAGACGGTAAATGTTTTCATAGAAAAATGTTTGCGGTTGCCTACGGAACCATAATTGTATCCAAGCATGCACCTTTTTGTCCGAAGCAAATTGACAGCCATGAATGTCTTTCTTTGGGGCTCCAAAAATATGGAAATCGCATGGGAAGAAATTGGGACTGTATGGACTACGCTGCAGAAGTTTCCAGCGAAACTTCTATACCGTAGTCAAAACAATCTTGGTAACATGTGGATGGGCATTATCCTGCAACAGAATGATGCTGTCTATCAACATTCCTGGGTGTTTGGATTTGATGGCACGCTTCAATTTTTGCAGAGTTTCTATGTATCGCTGTGCGTTAATTGTGGCACCGTGTTCCAAAAGTCAACAAGCAGCAGACCTCCATAGTGATGGTGGATGAACACACAACTCGCTGACCTCACTTTGAGCACGTCTAACAGACAAATGGCACAGCGGTGAACATTCACGCTGTTCCTTCCTGATTCCCAATAGAGGGCACTATACACACCTACCTGCATTACCAACTTCCGTGCCACACTTGTTATGTCTGTCTCGTTTTCATTTGACTGCCCCTAATATTTATTTAAGAATGTTTTAATGTATATTAAAAGATTGTAAAACTGTCCAAGTTTCACATTTGCACCATTACAATTTCTCAGTGTGTGCACCTCACGGCACAGCACACATCCAACCAATACTTGATTCTTCCTATGCTTGCTATAATCTCTTCTCCTAAAGCAGCTATAATTTTACAGCTCCTGCAGATTATTTTTGTTGCACAATGAGGAGTGATTCTGACTTTACTAACTGCAGAACACTAACTTCTTTGTTGAAGAGTTGCCATTTTTATTTACAGCAATTCCTAGAGGTAGTAGACGTTACTTCTTGAGATTCTTACATTCAGTGACTTTGAAAGTGAATTTCAGAAACAAACTTAGTAAATATTGTATCTATACTACAGCAAGGGTGGCAAACCTATGGTACACGTGCCCAAAGTGACACATCAAGAGAAATCGTGTAGTACATAACAAACCAGAATCATATAATACATTAACTTGATCACCCTTTTTTCAGTCAGTTTGTTAACATTTATCTTAGTTAAAGCAAATTAATTAAGTATCATTATTACAAGTCCTAAAACTTAAGTGCACACAAACATTTTTAATCCCTTCTCAGTCTCTCATTTTTTCTGAAAGAAAAAAGACTGATATTTTTTTTATCATTAATATTTAATACGTAATTTTGATGAAAAATATGCAAAAAGTTAGCTCCTACACACACTTTTTCTTTATAAGAGTAAAATAATTTTATTTGTTTTGAAAGAAAAACTATGAAAAACAAGTTACATAGGCATTTTCAGATTCCAAAACAAAATTAAATTTTCCTGCCAAAAATGGCTAAATAATTTCTGTAACATAATGCTATCTATTGGAAAAATAGTGAAATAAACATACCAGCAACAGTGAATGATTGGAGGTGTTTAAAACAATTTCTAAGCATTTTTCTCGCTAAACATATGACATGTCAAAGCCAAAAAAGTAATCACTGTGTATGGAAATATGGGATGAAACAGTGAGTGAAAAGAGGTAGATAATTTTGCTCACTAGGTAGTATGTGGATTCAAAATGGTTCACCGTCCCTAGATTAGAGTAACTGTTTAAATAATTTATTGTTGATTAACTTGTATTATAAAACTGAATTAGTTTATGTAGATATTTATTTATATATCAATCATAAGTTTATAAGAAGTCAAATTAATTTAATTAGAAAATGAAAAAAACTTTAATACATCCTTTGTCAGAAAAGTTCCAGGACAAAGCATGTAAAAAATAAAAGATTTCAATTACCAAGTAATGATTCTAACTCCTGTCAAAGTAAAAGTAGTTCCCTCAGCTATCTATACACAATTGCCAATGTTTCTGGAGGTCTTGGAAACAAGCAGAGAAAGCTTCAAGTGTGATGCTTGTTAGCTCATTTGTCACAGCCCGTTGGATGCTTGCAATATCTTGATAAAATGTCCCATCCCTTTCAGTTGCTTTTTCACCTTCAGAAAAAAAAAATAAATAAATAAAACACTTTTCTGACAAAGGGTTGCAACCGAAAGGGATGTTTTGTCAATATATTGCAGATATCCAATGGGTTGTGACAAATGAGTTACAAGCATCACACTTGAAGCTTTCTCTGCTTGCTTCCAAGACCTCCAGAAACATTGGCAATTGTGTATAGATAGCTGAGGGGACTACTTTAACAGGAGTTAGAATCATTACTTGGTAATTGCAATCTTCTATTTTTTTACGAGCTTTGTCCTGGAACTTTTCTGACAGAGTGTACAACAGTATTATACAGCACCCATACTACGTAGATGAAAAATTGTTGATGAAAAACTTCTTTTAACCAAGAATAATGTACTCTAACAGTGGCTAGTGGGTAAAATCAACTAAATAGTGGTAATTGATTACGGTTTGTGTCTGACCAATGAGCTATTGGCCACATAGAGTTTTTCAGGTTCTCTTTGCATGTCTACCACCTAAATGGAAACTAGTTTCTTATATAAGTCCTCCTAGAAGGCACCTACCTGTTTGCTTTATCCTATCAAAATGAGAATAATGCAAAGTCTGAAATATTTTCAGATGCTATTTGAGTTTTTTAAACTCTTCAATGTGTTGTTACTAGGAGAGGGTCTTTGTGCCTATTATGGATTCAGTCAGATCCACAGCAGAGGCAACTTGTGCCTCTGTTCCTCATTACTAATGTATCCAAATCATAACATATATATAAGTTTGAAGTTCTAACTTAATTATAATGCATATCTTTCAGAATAGAAGGTTGATGTTTTTACTGTCATAGTTATCTGGCTGTTAATTGCAGATCAGTTTTCAGTTTTAATTCAATTAGAAACTACAGACTAGGAAGCATTAAAGAGAATTTTTTGATTTTGAGTTGCCTGAGGACAACGTATATATTTACATTAAAAATGCTTGCAAGATTAAAATATTCCTTTAATTCTCTTTAATGCCTCCTAGTCTGAAGTTTCTAATTGAATTAACACAACTGTTGGTGTGACATCCAATCCAAGTATTTAATATACCTAACAGTTTTCAGTTACTTGCCATCGAAAAACAGCAAGATACACAGACAAATATAATTTAAACATTGAAAATACTCTAATTGCTAGCAAATTACTGTTAGCACAATTAGAGTAATGAGGTGTTTTCAGTTCATATCTGGTTTCTTACACAATTCTGTTAAGATGTTTTAATGAATTTGGATAAATTTAGATGATTCATTGTTATATTCATGTTTGGAATATCTATGATTCTTGAAATACTCAGTAAAAAAATCAATTTGTCAATGAACTGTACTTCCACAAGATGCCGCTTATTATAAATTTTCAATACAGTAGAGCCTTGAAAACTCGGCACTCCGGATAACTCGGCCTACCCTGGCAGGGCAAAAAAATCTTTAGTTAATTAATTTTCATGATAAAGACAGCTTTATGCCTCATAAAGTATTTTTCTGAGGTCTGTCTTATCAGGTAAATTACTGTACAGTGTATTCATTAATTTTCATTTTCATGTAGTAAAGGCTCTAT